AAAACTTTTGTCATGTTTTGTCCTTTATTGTTAGAATTTAACATATGCTAGATGACAGCTTTACAAACAAGACAAGGTTTCTTTTCCCCTAATGGACAGGATACCATATACACTACTGCAATCCATGCATTTGTCATCCATGTATGTTCCCTTAGTGCTGAAAGTAAAATCTGCTCATGTCAAAATAATTAGAGCTTGTAGAATCAGGCTCTTAAAATGTACAACTGTAAAATGTACAACTGCAAAAAAATGTATGAGTCCCTTTCCCCAGCATCCTTCTATTCTGTGGGGTTTATTAGGAATGGACAAAATAGTTTGCTTACGAAAGCCAACACAGCTCTATTATTACTGAAGTACAAGGGGGTGTATTCTGCCCACAGTTACACTGCTGTGGAGTTGCTCTAGTTTTACACAAGCATAACTGCAAGCACAATTGATCTCCTAGGACTGGAACACATGGGGGTCTGATCCAAAGTCCTTTAAAGTCAGAGAAAAGTTTAGACTCTGCAGTAACTACATGTCGAAATCAGGAGAAGGATGCATGATCCGTTGCAAACCCGTAGTCACCAGAGTGATCAGAGCCTATCTGGAGAAGCAAACCCTTTTTGAATGCTACCCCTTCAGCCTGTTTCCATGCCCCCAAAGCAGGATGTATCCCAGGTTTGGTCACAAGGACAAGGAGGAGGCCGGTGGGAGGAAAGAAAGGAGAGGGGGCTGTTTTCAAAATACAGTGATTCCCATTATTAACTGCAAAAGGAGCTCTTGAGTCTGCAAATGGGAAATGTTGTTGAGAAGGCCTGTTGGTTGGGGATGTTTAGAAACTGCTGTCTAAGGTTAAAAAGCTCCCTGAAGTGAAGCTGAACAAAGCTGACATGCTTGTTTCTGACAGGACCCTTAAAGATAGGCACAGATTGTGAAAATATAATTAGAAGCCAGTCTTTGTCTGGCCACAATGAGTGGGAAATGTTGAAAGAAGAGGTCTCCCAGTCTTTATAGAACTGTCCCCAGGACACAATGAGGGAGCTTGTGAGGCCTTCTCCTTCCCCTAATGAGAAACGTTAATTGCCACAATTTCCAGAGTGTGTAAAGCACCCTGTGCCCAGAAAAAAGAAGGGGTGTTTTATTTAAAAGGTTCTCAGCCCCATTAAACGTGGTAACAGAGATAATGGAAAATAAAAACGCTGTGTTTTTAATTTCTGCAGTTCGGACAATGGCAGGGGGCTCAGTGCAGATGTGTAATTTTAATTGCAGCCAATTCCTTCGCCCGAAGCCTCCAGTTCTACCCAGCCAGCAGCCTGGAGCTCCCAATGCCGTCATGCTGCTCCCTGAAAAATGTCAGCACTCCCAAGACTGCCTGTGAGTGGAGAAAGCTCAGGAAAATTGTGTGGGGGAGAAAGAGATGTTAGACTTGGTTTTTGATTCATGAAACCAAATGAAACAGCGTCTTAACATTAAACATTAGGTATTTGTTCCCAGCGAGCCAGAAGGGTGCTGGTCCTGTTTGTTACATTAGCATTTCATTTTAACTTGGATTTCTGACGCACTTGCTTTTTTCCCTGGCACATGGGTAGATTGATTTCATCCCAGAGTGTATAGTTTGACATCTAGTTAACACTTTCCTGCCATGTGCCCGCAGAGGGAAATAATGATTATTCCCCTGTTCCCAGAGGGGATAAAAGGATCTACAGATTGCTGTATACTGATATTGAAAAAAAGAAATAGGTTGGAGATTAGTCATCTCCTTTTACTTCACTGCAGAAACTTCAGGCTAGTAAACCAAGGGCAAGGCACCGATCTCAATCAAACGGGGGGGTTTTTACCCAAAAGAAGGGAGCACTTGGAAAACTGGTTTAAAACAGTCACTGAGCTGTTAGGGTCACAGCCTTTTTTAATCTACTGCAGTAACAAGTAGTTCCAGCAATGCTGTGTGTTTTCCTTGATAGTAAAGCCTGCAACCTCAGCCTGCCCTCCCAAATCTCCTCTCATTTCAGCTCTAGCTCCTAGGTAGATCAAGGTAAACCATAACTCCCAACCAAGGATCCTCAAGAATCTGTTAGCGGCAGACTGGTGCCCACAGAAAATCACCATGTGATTGCGTGTGTGTTCAAAGGTATTTGTTGAGGCTAAAACCTGAACCAGGCGCTGGAGGAGAAGCTAACATTAGGCATTCACTCAACGAGATAACTACATATTAGCAATACTTACTGCATTTTACATCTTCAAAGTGTGTTATCAACTGCTTAATCCTCAATACACCTCTGAGAGGTAGGGGAGCAAGGATTATCCCCATTTTACTACAGTGAAATGCAGTCTCTGAGGAATTAATCTGTCAGGTCACAAAAGGAGTTTCTGAGACAACCAGCAATAGCATCTAGGTTAGTTGCCTGGTTTCCTTTCCCATGCACTGCCTACAAGACTGCTTGCTGCATTCCAGGGAGACCCAAGCAGGAAGGCTCCCCTCTTACAGACAAGGTATCAGTGGTGACGTTAGGTGTTGGACCACTTTGAAAGAGTTACAGGAGGGAATTGCACTGAGAAGGCCTAGCCCAGCTCAGGTCAGCCTGAGTCTTTCCAGTGACTCAAAGGGCTTTGGGGTCAGGCCCCAAGGAAACAATTCTATGAAGGGAGAAACAGAAGGTGGAAGAAAGAAAACATACCAGGCTTCTGAAAATAGCGGCGAAGGGCAATGCTATTTGGATTTCACACAATTGCATCATGTTTCCCCCACTTGCAAACTAAACTGGAGAAATCCCAGGGCCAGGGATTTTGTGTTTCAGTAGCAAACAACCTGGAAGACCTCACTGGGGAGAGGCAAATAGCAAAGGGTGTAAGATAGCAAAGGGACGGGGATTCTTGAAGTGAGGCTCCTGTCAGCCAACTGAGACAGCCTCCATTCAGGTGTCAGACAGAGACTGTCCAGGGCTCGGTCTCCTTATGTCAGTAGGATCCTGTCCATTTTCAAGTTCTTAACTACCTTTTGTAAGCCCCCCACCCCCTGAGCCGGCAGGAGTTACCCTGGGCTGCGGGCAAATCTTCCTTGCTCTGGGGTCTCTGTAGAGTCCTTTGCTCAAGGCAGAGCTGCTCCTAAGGCTGATCTTCCCGGGGCATCTGCTGGACATGGCACCCTTGGGGCAGGGCTGGCTCTTCTGCCCAGCTGCTGCTCCTGCAAACCTCCCTAGCCTTGGAGCCTGGGCCGGCCGGGCCGGGGGAAGCGGCTCGGCTCCGCGGCGCTGCCTGGCTCCGTTTACACGGGAAGCGAAGTCTCCCTCGGCTCAGCC